AAGAGATTTTGATTGAGAATATAGAACATGTAATTATAAAATAAAACTGCTCCAAAATACAGTACTCTCTCTCTCTCTCTTACTCTGTTCCCTGATAGGTCAATGGTCCAGAGTTCCCTGCACCACTCAATGTTACTGATACTGTCAATCACATTATCCTCCAGTATTAATGTATGGAGCTTCTGACAGTCATCCAACTGCTCTATATAAGCTATGGAAACAAGAACAACAACAAGGATAATTATTAATAAAAGATATTATGCAATAATAATAATAATGTGTAATTTATATTGCACTGTTACCATGGCAACTATTAACAAACAAATTAGGTGAGGCCAGGCTGATTGTACCATTATTAACAGGAGTGCATGATAAGGATAATAATTATCATAATAATTCTGTTTCTCTTTGTTCCTCTTTTTTGTTCTTACGTATTCTCATTGATGATAGGTCCAGGTATGACAGTCTTTCAAGAGGACATGGTACAGTCTTATGGAGCAACTGGAGGAAGGAGGAGATTAGAAGAGAAGGAAGACTAGTGTTTGTAGACTTACCTGCTTTGTTATTCTCATTGTTGGAACAGCTGGAGGTGCATTTGGACCTAGAATAGAAAACTTAAGAGCTGAAGATAGAAACAATCTTGAAATAAACAAACCACACCCATAACACCACGCCCTTATTTAAACATACTAACTAGCAATGGACCAATCAAAAACCAGTGCTCACATGGAGCCTAGCTTCACGGCTATAAAACATTGCTGTCTTTATCATTAATTGCACTCTAGCAACTTTGAAGCTCCTTTTAAATTTATTTCCTCAAATCAATATGGCTACGGTGGATTGCCAACTACCCGTTTACATATATGTAGATAGCCCAAACCTATGGATTGCGGCTATCGGCAATGATTCCAGAATTAGAATCGAAATTGGCAAACTAGTTGAAGTGGTTGCTGCGGGTCGTCAGGTTAAAGGATTTTGGTATCGTTCTGACACTCCACTTCCACCTGCGTTCGAGAAAAATTTAAGAAACCTAGGTTTTGAAATTAGAGAGAAGCGGACCGCCGAGTCGACTGGTACGTGTAATATTTATGATGACATCACTGAAATGGCCCGCGAAACTCCAGAAAAAGGAAGAAGCACATTTGCTATAATGACTGGAGATGCAGATGTTGTACCAGCCATTGAAGAGGCCCTTGAACACAAATGGAAGGTGGAGGTTTTTATGTGGGAACATGCGACATCATTTGAGCTCAAAGAACTTGACGAGGCCGGGAGAATAAAACTGAAATATTTACATGACGATGTAACTTTTACCAATCGAAAGTTTAAACCATGCGATGACCTTATATCCCACCTAAAAGAGTCTGGTGTAGTTCTGACAGTTGATAAAAATCAATTTGATAAATGGCACTTTCCTACATGGTACCCAACTGACAAATGGTATAAGAAGGTGACAGCTATAGCTCAATGCCAATTTGAGTATAATTGGATTGACTCTGAAAGCAATCCGAGAGAATTTGGGCTTGTTCTCTATTTCAATCAAGATAGAGTTTTTAACTTGGAAGAGTTTATACCTGAACTCAAAAAGAATTTTAGAGAGTTGCATATCATCGATGCACAAACATATCAGAGCTACACAGAATCGATGGAGGGAGGTTGTCCATTCAACAATGCTACTGATGCTGATGAATATAATATAGCTACTTCTGGTGATGAAGAATACTAATCTAACCAAAGTTAAAAATAACTAGACTATAGATCTACAGAAATGTATAATTTTGCTGAATGCCATGTGTGCATAATTTTTTTTGATTTGTTAATTACAATTATTAATTTTAATAAAAATGTGCAAAAATGCATGATTGCTGAATTTTCAAAGTGTTCTTTGAAAAGGTCTACACTCAATATCAATTCAGTACAATGAGGTGAATATGATTTAACATGTCGTACATGTCTCACAGTCACAGACTAACAGCTACACTATTTCTCCAGCATAACCATGAAGACTACTTCACTTTACAGCTGCTAATCCCTCCATCATCAATCAGCAATAATCAGCTGCTAACAATCAAGCAGTAATTAGCTCAGCCCGAGGCTAATTGTACCAGTATCTTATTATTAATGATCACCAACAGCATTATCATAATGTCTCTCTCTCTTTGTTCTTCATAGTTGTTCTTACGTATTCTCATTGATGATAGGTCCAGGTATGACAGTCTTTCAAGAGGACATGGTACAGTCTTATGGAGCAACTGGAGGAAGGAGGAGATTAGAAGAGAAGGAGGACTAGTGCTTGTAGACTTACCTGCTTTGTTATTCTCATTTTAGGAACAAGTGGAGGTGCATTTGGACCCAGAAAAGCTTAGGAAAGGGAAAACAATCTTGAAATAAACCACACCTACAATGCCACGCCCTTGCTAATTACACGTTTACAACCACGCAACAATCACATTCAATAGTCAATACAAAAGATAATACAAAAATTAATTACCGGTATTTATCGTGTATTAATTAAATTCAGCAAAAATAACGCAACAGACATTTCTGTATAGTCTAGCTATTATTGTTTGATATTTTAGTAGGTCTATCTTCACTTTTAGTACCTTCATTTTTGACTACCTCAGAAAAAGAACATTTTATTCCACGGTTTTCTTTATTTTCTCCCAGATTTTCTTCCTGCTCAGTCTTGATCTCTTGTAAACAGATAACCTCCTTCTCAGAACCCTCCCAGATTTTTTTCTTTATTGATTGTGTATAGCTTCGATATTCTTGCACGCTGATAATGTGCAATCGCTCTAATTTTTCGCCATTGAATTTTGACCGCATAAATTCTTCCAAGTCAAAAACCTTCCCTCCGGCATCCACTTTTTTTGAAATAGAGAATAAGTCCAAACATTCCCGAAACACCAGAGTCTTCAAAGTCTGCCCAATCATACTGAAATTGACAATTAGCTAAAGTTTCCACCTCCTTACACCACTCATCTTTTGGAAACCAATCTTTCAGAGAGTGCCATTTATCAAAATCCTTTTTATGAACTTTGAGAACAGCAGATTTGCTTAGATTGCATCCAACATCCCATTTTCTATTGATGAAAATTATATCCTCACAGTGATCATTTAAATGTTGTAGCTGAGGTTTTAGTGTTATTCCCTCTTTACTTTTAACTTCTATTTTCTTGTAATCAGCTGACATTGCACCCTTCCATATAGCAACCTCCACTTTCCATCCATACTGTAGAGCCTTTTCAATGGCAGGTATCATGTCAGCATCTCCTGTTATGACAACAATTGTGCTTCTTTCTTCTGGTGAGGTCGTGCAGGCCGTTTTAGTGATATCAGCAACTATTTGTGTATCCACCTTCTTCTCTTTCCCTTGGCTGCTTTTTTGTGTATATTAACCTTCACATGTTGCTTTTCAATTTTTTTCCAGACTGTATCAACTTTAGGTGGTTCAGAACCATACAAGAACCTCTGAGCTACAGGACGACCAGCAGCAACAACATCACAGACTCTCCCAATATCTACTCTAGCTCTTGGATCCTTCCTCAGTCTCTTAGCCTGAATAAATAAGTTTGAATCATCTATATATATGAAAATAGGTCTGGAATTGGCCATTTTGATCATGAAAAATAAAGGACACTTCTAGCTGAGATAGATAGTCGAGTATATTTATACTCAAGGAGGCCGCTGATGCCAGCTGGCTACTGTGGGCTAGGGGAATGTCCTCTAGAGATGCTACCATGATAGTGCAGACCACATGCTCAATGTCACTGAGTGATGTATCAGATAGAATATCACATGATCAAAGTCATGCGAAAGATCCTAATTGTACAAGAAAAGTGCAAAAATAATGAATTTTCAAAGTTCTACATATACAAGACAAGGTCTACATTCAATATCAGTTACAATATGATCAACATGAGGTGAATATGATTTAACATGTTCTACATGTCTCACAGTAACAGACCAACCACCATTATCTTCTTTATACAATGATTCTAATATTGTCTTTATCCTAACAGCTACACTGTTACTCCAGTACAACCATGAAGACTCCTTCACTTTACACTGCTATTCCTTCCATCATTAGGAGCTGAAGTGATGTGAGAGGTGACATTTCCATGAACGTGTAGCCATCCTCCTTTATCTGGTTTGAGACAGGCAGCTGCAGTAGCCCACCCTTCTTCACTTGATGGTATCAATCCTAACAATACTCTATCAGCTATCCTTAATGGAGCTACCTATAGTATAATACAAACAGTGTAAATCAATAAACAAAAGACTATCTTTAATTTGTACATAGGCAAGTATTACAGGTAGATATAGGGAAAGGTAGAAAATTAAGATATATACTGTGTGCAATAATTGCTAGTATACAAACAAGCTCACAGTTATTGTCATTGGTAAGTTTGTTGTTTCCAGTCAGAGACAGTGAGAGTATGTACATATGGGACAGTCTCTTCAGCTCATTCCAATCAATGTTGTTATTGGGGGATCCT